ACTACTACTACTACTACTACTACTACTACTACTACTACTACTACTACTACTACTACTACTTCTACAACTACTACTAGTACTTGTACTAGTACTACTGCTACTATGACTACTACTAGTAATACGAACAACAATGGCATGAATGAGGCTATGAATAGTACTACTAATAATCTTAACATAAACACTAATAACACTGATAATACGAATCGTAATACTAATATAAAAAATAATAATAAGGATAAGAAGCAGAACACTAAACACTATGAACACTGATAAGAAGAAGTGGCCATGATACCCACACACAGACAGTCGAGGAACAAGCGAGGACAGAGACATGAGCTCTCCGACCCCCACGCGCAAGGACTGCGCGTTCCGAGCGTGCCTTTCCCGCTCCCGCCGCCCGCCGTGCCCAGCTCGGCCACGCGCACCCCACGTCCGCTTCAGCTAAAGGGGCCCTGGGACACACAAATAAGAAGACGCGAATCCCAGGATTCACCAGATTTTCCTTCATATTTCCTGGGTTTCTGTCTTCCAGCCCATTTCCCATATCTTCGCATGTTTTCCCGGGAATCGACGATCAATTGTGTCTGTGTGTTTTTTCCCTCCTGATCAGAACGCGGCCAGGACTCGTTTGACTGCGACCTTCTTGAGACCCTCTCGCAAGAGGCCCTTGTGGGCCCAAACTGTTCCCTGCGGGTGAGGTCCGTCCGAGCTCCCGGAACTGGCACAGTCCAGTCTGGGGACCGCCCTGCGCTCTTCTTCCGGGAGGGTGCGGCCAGGCTTCTCGCCGCTGCGACAGAAACGAAGAGGCCCAGGGACACACCAGTGAACAGACACAGGTCCCAGGAGATCCCCCAATAGTTTCCCACATCTCTTCTGGATCTTCGTCCTCCCCTCCCCAGCACTTCCCTTCCCATATCTTCCCATGTCTCACTGGGGATCGACAACTGAATTGTGTCTGTGTGTGTTTCCCTCCTGGAGAGGAAACCCCCCCCCTTCCTAGCTGACTCACCCCTCTCATGGCCGCCCCCCCGAGGCCTTGGCGCCAACCGCCCGCAGGGCCGGCTGGGGCTTCTGCAGGAGGGCCCGCTCGTTGGCCGCCGCGTCGAGCTCCTTCGGCGGTGGACAAACCTCCCTTTAGTAGACCTCACCTTAGTGAAAACGGCCTGGGACCGAAACCGACGGACCTGGGCCCGCAAAGATGACGGCCGCGACGCCCTCTCGCGAACCGAAAACGGCCAATTCCTCAATCGACGTGTCAGGGTAAGAGGTCTGTCCAACCCCGACTCCTGGGCGCCGGTCTGGTCCGGCGTGCCCTGCAGCAGCGCCAGGGCCTCCGCCAGCGCCTGTAGCTCCTTAAGGCAAGCTCGCTCCACTACTCGCAGAGTAACTACTCGCACATGGCCTGGATCCACCGAGGGGGATTCGCGATCCATGACATCGAGGCAGACGTTTACTTTTCGGACGCTTGCGAGTAGGCATTTTGCGAGTATCTGGTGGAACGCGCTTGGTGATCCTTGCCCCTCTCGGCGGAGCGTTGGTCCCACTGCTTGGCAGCAGTCTCGCACTGCTCCGTCAGGTCGCGGAGGTAGACTTTGTCGTCCTTGAGCATTGCCTCTGAGTCGACGAGTGACCTGCGGTTCTGTGCGATGGACTTCTGCAGCCCGTCGATCGCCAGCTCGAGGCTCGAAATCTCGTCGCCAGTCTCGTCGATGCCATCGTTCAGCTCCTTCTTGGTGTCCTCGCAGATCTTCTTGGCCTTCGCGTACTCCGCCTGAGTGTGCATGCTTGACTGATGTGCACAGCAATTTCATGGCGGTACACATATGGGACATGTATTTCCTCTGCTCTTTCCTCCTCCCTTCTGTTCTTCCCTTTCCTGCCTCTGCATCTTCCTCCTCCTGTCCCTCGGCCCCTTCCTGCCCTACTGGCTCCTCACCTCCCCTACCTTCTCGTCCTGCTCTGCACTCCGCCTGCGTCTCCGTCCTCTTCGCATCGAACTGCACCTTGAGCTTCTCCAGAAGCTCCACGATGCTGTCGGAGTGATGCTCGGCGGCGCGCACGAGGGGGCGGCGCGAGGCGGGGCCTCCCTCCACGAAGGCGAGCGGCGCCGCAGAAGACATCCCCTGGCTTCCGAGGAGCCCGCCTCGGAAGCCCTCCGACCTTTCTGGAGAGGCCCCCCTCGAAAGTGGCGACCGTTTCGCGGATCGCAGCCCCCCAGGGACGGCGAGGTCTCGCTCAGATCTGCGCGGTGCCTTACTCCGCAGGACCCACCAGCAGCCCTCGAACGTGGCGAACGTGGTCCAGGCAAGCTTTTCTCGCAGCTTCGCGGCCTGCGCGCCGCCGCGACCCCGAGGCACGCCCCCAGGGGCCCAGAGACGGCCCGGACACCCCCAGGACTGCTCCTCGATCTTTAGAAGACGGAAAGAACGCCATAAACTTACGTCGGGCCTGTCCCCCTACAGGGGGGTTTTCGACGAAAAATAAAAAATACCCCAAAATAGTCAAAAAATAATCCCAAAATAGTCTGGGGACTATTTTTTGAATATGTTTCACCTTCTTGGGGTATTTTGGGGGTATTTTATATTTCTCGTCAAACGTTTCGGGGCTCCGCGCGGATTTCTTGGATCTGCGCTGCGCTGGACACCCCTCCCTGGCGCGCGGAGCGCGCCAGGGGCGGCGCCGGAGGCGCCGCGGGGGGGGGGGGGGCCAGCGCGGATCCAAGAAATCCGCGCGGAGCGCCAAAAGTTTATGCTTGCGGCGTTTTTTCTTCTTCGAGATACCGCCGAGTAGATGGGGTCGAAGGATCGCGCCGCATCGCCAGTGCATCACCGATGTATTGGCGATGCAGCGGCGACGCATCGGCGACGTCGTGGAGAAAATCGGGCTCCACATCGAGCCGCATCGCCGATGCATCGCCGATGCGGCACGACCTTCCGACCTCATCTTCTCGGAACCCATCTAGGCAGGAGAGCCCAGAATCGAGTCGATACAGTCGGGGCGTTGACCTAAGGAACCCTAAATAAGGAACGAGGCCCCCTTTTTCCATGAGTTAAGCTTCGACTTCCGATCGAAAACATAAGGACAACCTGAGGCAAGCTGTGAAAGACTTAAGGAACGCGGAGCCCCTCCCCAGCCAAAAGGGTCCCTTCTTCAGGGCCCCGACTGTACTCCACCACCACCTCCCTCCCTCCCTCCCTCTCGCTGGACAGAGGCGATAAGTCGAATCGATAAGTCGAATCGGCGATCGAAATTACATCGGATCGGCGGCAATCGACGGCCGAGTCGGGATGACTCGCATCGGCGGCACTCAGCAGAGCAACGAGGCCTCATTGAGGAATCGGAGCCCAAACCGGAATCCGAAGTCGAATCGGATCGGAATGCATCGAGGTCGAATCGAATCGCATCGGAGGCATCGAGACGAGCCCTGCCTAGGAGGCCGAGACCCTCGCCTTGCCCCGCTTCCCACTTGCGCGCCGCCGGGATACTTGTACTCGGGCTCGCTCGGGTCGACCTTGACGGGCCCCTTTTCCACCACCGCTACCATGTGTGGGAGGAGGAGGAGGAGGAGGAGGAGGAGGAGGAGGAGGAGGAGGAGGAGGAGGAGGAGGAGGAGGACCTCCTCGTCCTCCCTTCTCCCCCGTCCTGCCTGTGGGGGTGGTGGTGGTGGAACATTGGCCCATCAGACCTGCAGCAGCGAGGACACCGCCTGGCGGCCAGAGCCCGCCACCAGGCCCAGGGCCTCGCCGAGGCGCACCGCGTCGGCGAGCCCGGCCCCGAGGGGGGCGCCGCGCAGCTGCAGCAGCGACGGCATGCCTCCCTTCATGGCCCCCAGGGCTTTGTCCAGGGCGAAGCAGGCCTCTGCCGAAGGAGAGAGAGAGCCATAGACACTCCACAGTCTCGGCGCTCCGCGCGGATGATCTCTTGGATCTGCGCTGGACGCCCCTGGCCTGGCGCGCGGAAGCGCCGCCGGGGGGAGCTCCGCGCGGATCCACGAAATCCGCGCGGAACGCCGGAAGTTTCTGTTCGTGGCACTTTTCCTTCGACTTTTAGCGGCGCGCACAAGAGGGCAGGGGCGCCGGGCAGGGGAGGGGGGGAAGGCCTCGCAGAAGGAGGCTGCTTCTTAGAAGGCGCCGGCGCTGGCATCTAGAGATAAGGCCCGCGTCTTCCAAGAAGCAGGGGTGCTTCTGAGAAGCCTTCCCCCATCCCCATACCCCTCTGAGCGGGGCCCAGCCTTGCCGAGGTCGGACAGGTCCGCCTCGAAGTCCGCCGCCTCTTTGAGGCACCTCTCCGTCTCCGCCACGAGGTCCCCCTGCAGCTTCTCGAGCTTGGCCTTCTGCTCCTGTAGCTCCACCGCCTTGCCGTCCATGGTGGCGGTGTCGTCCGCGATGCTGGCCGAGAGCGCGTCGATGGTGTCCTGCCCGTCGAGGATGCACCGGGCGCTGCCAGAGGTGACCCTGGCCTTAAGTCGGGCCTGTCCCCCTACAGGGGGATTTTCGACGAAAAGTAAAACATACCCTAGGAATGAGTAAAGGCCAATGGGCCCGATCGGGCCGCGGCAAGTCTTGACATTGGCGTCTCTTGGCACTGGTGGCAAGCTCCTTGGAAGCCCCAAAACCACCTGAAGCTCTGTCTCCTTATGAAATCAATGAACCCATTCTTGCATCCATCACCATCAACTGTCGTCGCTATCACCACGTCCCGTCCCACTGTGCGTGCAACGAAATGCAACAAAACCGTGTCGCGCATTGCAATACATCCGTGCCATGCAATGTGCCGTGCCGCACCGCCGTGCCGTCGCAATGCCGTGAACAACGCGATGCCGTGAACCGTGCAATGCCACGTGCCGTGCCGTGACGTGCCGTAAAAAACCGTAGGAGAATATGAGCATGAGCCGTGCCGTGCAGTGCAATGCCGCAGAGGAAGGGGAGACATACCGATACGCCTCTTGGCCCCCTGGATGGGCGTCGGAGTTGTTTCTCCGTAGGCCATTTTGGCTCAGGGCTATCTAGGCCACCTCCATATCCACAATGCCACCGAATCCAGCAATGCTCCTGGATACTTTCATATCTGTTTCCCGTGAGAAAGGGATTGCGACTCAGATTGCAGCGACGGGCCACGTGAAACTCATCGATGTTGCTAACATGATGCTTCCTTCGATCGAGGCGGATGCGGTGACCAGCACGTCTCTGAAAAGGAGAATGAGCACTATCTTGAAACATCCAGCAACGGGCGCACAAGGGCTATTCGATTCTACATCTGTCCATGTGTCGGTCTTACCTACCCTGTGGAGCGCCTGCACTCTCGGAGTTTTTTCGGACAGACATTTGGAAATATTTCTGAGAGCATTGGGTGCCGATAAACGGTTGACGTCAAGACGAATTCTGATGCCAATAACTGAAGAAGTGGCCCCAGCGAGGCCGCCCAGACTGCAAGACGCCCCATCTTCTTCTACGACGCCCTCGTCGTCTGCACTGGTGCAACAGCCACGAGCTGAAGTCGTTGACCTTTCTGCGGCAGATGCCTTGGTGCCAGCGCCATACAGCACGTGCAGCCACGATGAGCTGATCAACATTATAGTTGCTCGAGACGATACAATTACATCGTTGACGGATGAGAAAGAGAAGATACGCAAGAGCTGTTCTCACTACAAAGGCCGATGTTCACAATTGCTGGAAGAGTCGAAGAAGAAGGAGGAGGAGATGGAATCGTTCAAGCAACTGGTGCAGTTCAGGCCTAACCGTAACATCACGCATCTCGGTGGATACAGCCTGGCGTTATCACGAAACCGCGGTCATCTTGGGGCGGGCCTGACAGCTGCGCTCGTCGCTGGCGAAGACTTCCAAGGGAAATTCAGCCATAATTCTGCGAGGACCGTGGTCGTATTCGAGCACAGGGCTGCCACGGCAAAGATTGTTCGCACCAAGAACTTTTTCGTCGGGGTGAACAACTTCAAGCCTGCTGTTGGCGGGGGGATCGATGATGCATTCGTGTACGAGTTTTTCTGCTACAAGGGCGACGGCACGAAGCAGGAAATGCTAGACAAGCACAAGTTGCACGTGAGCACATTGACTTCAGTCACAATCAACCACTGGGACGTCGAGGAAGCACGAGTCGTACGAGTGGATTCCGACACCCAGGATCCTTCTCTTCCAGTGGAGCGGGTCTTCGACATCGATTTGTTGTGCGTTCCATCTGTGTCTACGGCTTGCGATTTGCAGATTGTTCGCTTGGGGACTGGTGCCGAAACCTTTGCGATTATCGAGGCGCAGTTTGCTTCTGTCGGTTGTCCTCACTTCTCATTGCGCGCATCCGAGGCCAAGAATCCATCAGCAGGCGATGAAGCACGAAAAGTTTCGATGTATGCCTTTGGACTCGACCAAGGATCCGACAACGTAGGGTTCATTAGCAGGGCGATGACCATCGTGGAGGACGTCGACTACGTGATGATATGCACGTGCTGGTGCCTGTTCCACCAATTACATTTGATAGTGAAAGTTGTCCTGGCGGCCTTGGATCAATTGCACCATTCAGAAGATTTTCCCGTGTCATATTTTTCTGGAGTGGCTACTTTGACAAATCTTTGGCGAGATTCTGGGGCCGCAGAGAAGATCAGGAAGGAGGCAGAGGTCATGTTCGGCGCAGACGCGTCCAACAGTATGAGCAAAGCCCCGAGCCGAGCTTTGCGAGGGAGGTGGGGTGCCATCGACGCGGTCGAGAAAATCTTGGTTAAAGCAATTTCGTGGCTAGCGGCTGTCATCACGTCTGTTTTCAGGGGCTCGAAGAAGTTCAAGGCGTCGAAGGTAGGGGCTGCCGAAGACAAGGAATACCAGGAGCAACAATCAAGATACAAGAAGAATGTTCTAACTCTCATGCAGACGCCGCTGTTCTTGGCGATGATCGTCGTATCGTTTGTGGCGAAGCGGGTTCTCACGAGGGCTTTGTGCTGGGGGCAGAAGGTTACGAAGGAGTACAACTCGGTTGCCAAACAAGCTCGAGCAGATGCTGATACGTACATGGGCCCGACGCCTCTTTCGGTTTTCTTGACGAAGAAAGTTTACGAGTGGTACCAGGATCTGTCAGACCAGCTTCACTCCTCGACGATCGATGATCCCAATATGTGGGGGCCTGTTTGGAAACTTGTTCCTGAATCAGATTACCCGAAAGTGCGCTGCTTGATCGTTTCGTTAACCCTCAAGATCGCTGCGCACTGGAAGCTCCGCTTTTTGGACACAGCTGACGACTGGCCATGGCTGTTACTCGTAATGCTGGAATCTCCACCAGAAGTTGATTGCCATAGACGCCGACAGATTGCTGGCAGGCTTCTCAACACAGACGACTGCTGCCTGAATCGCAAGTTCTCCGACGTCACGGCGAAGGCCAAGCGTTTGTTCAAGGACCACTTCGAGCACGCGCGCGAGTTCGGCACGTGCCCATTGCCATTGTATGTTTTCCTGCTCGGTTGGCGTTCCCAGTGCAGCTTCGACACGCAGGACGTAGAGGGCATGAACAGCATTGTGCAAGAGATGAGTCGGAGAGCGGCCCACTTACATTTGGCGCTCGCATCTGCCCGCGTGATGCTCAAGAAGGGTGACCCGATCTCGGCCCGCGAGTGCGCGAATTACCACAAGACCGTCATGCAGGAGATGGCATCGCCAGCAAATGCTTCGAGGTTCACTGAGGTTCCATCTACATTCGCGCCAGGCGAAGCTAAGTTCCATGTCTGCGAGCACGTCGTGAACGAGGCCTTCACGCGAGCTTTGGGCTTCATGAGCAAAGCTCGACAAGTTGTTGCTGATCCGTCAGTCGAGACTGCCTGGACATTCGTTCGCCATTCTGATACAGAAGATCGCATCGGCTTCCTGGTCGCCTGCACTCACAGCTATCAGATGTACTTGGCCTTCGGGGTCTTGAGGACAGACAAGGTCTTCGTGCTTCAGAGGCCGCTGAACATCCAGACCATGGTCAACGCCATCACTCGGCTGATCGAGGATCAGCTCCTCCTCACTCCTCCTCAGTCACACTGCTATCTCTTCTCCTGCTTCGTCCTCCTTAGTCCTCCTGAGGAGGACTAAGGAGGAGGGGAGCATGAGGGGATGCCATCCCCTTCGTGATCTTCTTTCCCCGCCCTCCGCTTCACAGGATAAGCTAGACGCGAAGGAGCTGACGGTGTACTCGTACTCGCTGGAGTGGCTCACTCTGGACTCGGCCAAGTTCGACCTCGAGAGCGGCAAAGCCAAGAAGATCAAGTTCAAGAAACCTCGGCCCCGCAAGAAAAAGCTTCACGCAGACGATGTCCCTGCAGGAGGCCCCGATGGTGATGGTGACGTGCCTGGCGCAGATGCGGGCGCTGCAGATGGCGACGGTCATGACGGAGACGCCGGCGGTGCGGGATCTGACGACGGCATGGAGGCGGCCATGGAGGATTTGCTTGATCACATGCTCTTTGGCGGAGGAGGTGAAGACGGAGGGAGTGATGATGAAGACGAAGACGGCGCTGGCAGCCACCATGATGAAGAGCGTGACGATCGAGACGATGATGCGGCGTTCGTTGGCGAACACTGGGACCCCGAGAAGGAGCCAGAGGACCCCGCAGACCCAGATGTTCATGCAGCCGATGTACCTATGCCAGCACCTGGGGATGATGAAGACCTAGATGAGCTACGCGATGTGCTGCGTGAGGTTTCTGAGAAGGGCCGTCGCGACGTTGCAGATGCTGAGTCTCAAGCCGAGGATGTAGCGGGTGCTCCACTGCAGGTGAGCAAGATTTCTCTCGTGCAGCTTGACGGCGCCAGTGTGTTCGTGAGGTGGACGAATCCTGCCACAAGGGAATGCAGGCAAGTGAGCCTCGATTCCAAGAACCGCATCATCTACGCGATTCCCTTCGTGGTGCCCGTCATCAAGGTGCCTGTCGGCGCTCCTGTCCTGATCGTCGATGCGGGGGCCATCATGTATAAGGTTACTGCTGCGTTCAGGCCCCAGATGCCTGACTGGTGCCTCTTACTTCAGAAGCTTTCGGAAGCCAGAGCGATCCGTGGGCCTGTTGATGATGCATCGCCGTGTGTAGTTTGCGAGGCGCGTGTGCGCTGTGGCTTTGCCCCTGCAGTCGGGGCTGGGCAGAAGTTTCGTTGCACAATGTGCGTTTCGATTTGGCACGAGGCGTGCGCCGCGTGCATTCGAGATCATGCCAAGTTGGCGGAGCCCGTCAGCTGGGACAACTTTGCTTGCCCGACGTGCATGCTCGATGAATCCTAGAACAGCTCACGTCGAGAGTGCGGCCAGAAGGAGGGAGGGAGGGAGGGCGGGAGAAAGAGAGGGGGGAGAGACACACACGCGGAAGTAACACGCATGAGATGGGAGCGTTGTTATTTACATTGGGCACGCGGCCTGAGCACGCTGGCATTCCATAGCAAGTAGGGTGAGGGAGGATGAGGAGGATGGAGGACGAAGAAGAGGAGGAGGAGGAGGAGGAGGAGGAGGCGGAGGAGGAGGAGGAGGAGAGGACGGGAGGGGGAGTGGAGGGAGAAGGAGGAGGCGAGGAGGAGGAGGAGGAGGAGGAGGAGGAAGAGGAGAAGGAAGGAGGGAGGAGAAGGAGAAGGAGGAGGAGGAGGAGGAGGAGGAGAGGGTGATGCCTTCCCATTCGGGCGCAAGAGGTCTGCACTCCTGCTAGCTGTCCTCTGCGAGCCTGGACACTCGTGCGCAAGTGAGTTCCCGTGCTTGCGCCCCAGAGTTCCCGAGACTGTCGGGACATTCGAGATTCGGTTCGGTGTTCGGCGCCGTTGTTGGACCCAACGGAAAACAGATGGCATCCGTGGCTCCGTGACCCTGTGGGGCCCCAGCATGATTGTCACCATTGATATATGTGTCTCTGTCTTGTGGCATTGAACCCCCCGCGAGCAAGCGTCAATATCGTCTCGAATCCTGACGCTCGAAGTGTGAGTGCCCGTAACGCTCGGCACCAGCCCAGAGAAAAAAAAAAAAAAAAAACATAACAAAAAAAAAAAAAAAAAAACGAGAGAGATACATAGAGAGAGAGAGAGTAACATACACCACGAGCGAGCGTGCATTCGAGCGATCGAAAGGAACGCTTCAGGAGGCGACCTTGACATCTTATGTCAAGGGTGGGGGCTCACGTGGCCAGTTTAGAGATATTATGTCAAGGGTAGCTCTCAAGACTGTCTTCCTTGACATCATATGTCAAACAGAGGTCCTCCCGAGGGCTCATCTTGACATCCTATGTCAAACAGAGGGCCTCCTGACGGGCTCACCTTGGCAGAATATGTCAAACAGAAGTCCTCCAGACGGCCTCACCTTGACATCCTATGTCAAACAGACGGCATCCTGAATTGCCCACCTTGCCACGCCATGTCAAACAAAAGGTCTCATGAATGGCCCATCTTGACATCGTATGTCAAACAAAATGCCTCCCAAAGGGCGCACCTTGACATCTTCTGTCAAGGGATGGTCTCCCAGAGTGCCCACCTTGACACCCTATGTCAAACAGAGAGCCTCCCAACGGGTCTACCTTGACATGGGATGTCAAACGCCTCCTCTCCAAAGGGCCCCCCAAAGGTTCCAGAGTCAAGAAGGGCGTTCTCGGGGCTTCACCTCTAGACAGAATCCCGCCCCCCGCGCTTCCCTTAAGTTGTAAAAGCGGTGGATTCAAAAGTTCGGATGCCCCCCCCCCCCCCTCCGCCTCAGCCCGCGTTGGGAGCCCGTGGGAACTCGGAGTTGGGGACGCCCCGATGCTCACCTTGGTCCGAGGGCCCCTCTTGCCGTCCATCAGCGGGCACCGACATCCTATCCGTTAGGCGTGCCCTTACCTGGTGCCAAAGGCCCCTCCCCCGACCCCTATGCAGGCCTCCACCCCGTCTGGTGAGAAATGGGTTCTGGTTTTCGTTTGTTGGGGAGGGGGATCCGATTTCGGGCAACTGGCGCTCGCGTGCCTTGATGCGTCATCGTTTTTATCGCAATGGGCGCGGGGAGGGGTCTTTGGCAAGGGGGTCGGCGAGGTCTGCCTCAATGGGCCCTAGATGGGCTCTGGAGAGGATGAGGGGAAGTGAGAACGCCCACACCTTCAGTTGTATAGCCATTTTGGCTCGAGGTTCGACGTGCTTCGAAGCACGCCAAGCGGAGTCACCGCATATGGCGGGACAGCCAGAGACGCAGCTGGCCCCAGTGACGTGTCCCGCTGGCAATGAGCGGCAAGTCCGCCACCCTCTGCTGTCTGCTGATGCCGTCCCTCCGTTCGATATCTGGTTGAACAATTACGATAGTATCACCGATCGGTTTGGGAGAGACACGCCAGACGAGCAGCTCTTCGAGCTATGCAACAAGTACTGGGCCTTGCCAGACAAGGCCATGTCTTTCTTCGACGCGGCGGGGAAGCCGTTGATCGCTCGCCATCCAATGAACGACCGTGGAGACTACGGGTCGCGCGTGGGTCTCATGAAGTCCATCCAGTCCTTGGGGCTCTTGCTTAACATTCGGTCGCCTCCGTTCTTGGTAGAGAAGGCAGAGGGCCAGGAGTATCTCAGCCTGCATTGGGCAACTACCATCGAGGCTGTTTACATGGCGTACGAGACGTCTCCCAAGAACAGATTGGTGACGCATGCAGTGGCAGGGGGACTTCCTCGATGCAAGATCTACCATCCCAAGATTCCGAACGACGGCGCGAAGTTCCTGAAGGAGTACGGCAACAAGGGCAACGACCACATCACGAAGAAAACGTTCATGGAGTGCTACCGCGAGGCGGGGAGGATCGAGAAAGCTTGGGAGAGGCGCAAGAAAGATATGCAATGGACGATCGCGTCCCTCACTTACGCCGTGCACGAGGAGAAGAAACACGAGTTCGCTTGCTCTGTATTACCTGGGCGCTTCGATAGGCCTCGGCATTTCGAGGTGTGCTTGCATGTCGCCAAGGAGAGCCAGAAGGTCGTCATTGAGAGGGGGCCCGACAAGGGCCTCACTTGCTGGCAAGCTTTGGAGAAGGCCGTGAAAACGCACTGCGACTTGTCGCACCCTTCCGCTTGCTCGTTCTCGACTATCTTCGTTAACATCTACCACATATTCCGAAAGGTGAGGGCCGACCACGCCGAGTTCTTCGCTGACCTGTGCCTCATGATACTGCCCGTTGCTACGCCCTTGGGGAAGTGCGTGCTCTTACCGAACGGCCTAGGCACAGTCGCAGTGACAAAGTTGACCGAGAACGCCATCGATGCACTTTTCTTGGAGATGGAGGAGAGCAAAGCTGTCCAGGAGGCGATGGCGGCCGCATCTGCGCAGGAGACTGAATCCAAACAACACGAGCAAGAGCAGCAGGCCTTGGCGGCGAAGGAGGCGGAGGATAAAAAGAATGAGAAGGACCAGCATGGCAAGAAGGGCAAGAGCACCAAGACGGACAGCCAGGCGAAGATTCTGAAGAAGAAGGTCAAGTCTTTGGAGAGCCAGCCACTCCTGACCAAAGAAGATGGTGAGAAAAACTTCCTGGGCGTGCTCGAGCAGACGATCAAGTACATGGTAAAGGTGGACGCGTCGCAGCAGGAGCTCATCCGCTCGTTTCGGTTCTGCGCGTTGGCTGGCGCCTTGGGCGAGAAGATTTCGCTCGTGGTCGGCGGGGTACCGAAGGAGGTCAAGGGCTACTCCAAGTTGACGAAATTCTACAAGACGCAGTTGTACAAGTCTGCCGCGCTTCAACCGAGGACGTCCGACCCAGACTTCTTCGCAGCACAGATCAGCGGGGCTCCAAGCGCGACGTCGGCTGCGAGCTCCATGGACGTGGCCATGAAGCTGAAGGAGAAGCTTGAGGATGGGGCCTCCATGCTGCCCGACTTGATGAAGTTCGTGAAGGTTAGGCGGTGTTGTTCGTCTGTGTTGTGTTGTGGCAGCCAGTGCAACGGCATGTTTTCGAACACATTTTAGGAGTAAAGGTCCTGGCGTTCCCGAGTAGTTCGAAACCTGCTCAACCGCGTCGTGAACTGGCTGCTGCAAAATTTCGCCACGAACGAAATCGCTTGAAGGGGAATCCTCTGGACAAGCCCGTGATCACGAGTGAGTTCGCGCCGCATGCCATCAACGGTGTTATGATGCGCCTGATGCACATGCTCGTCGAGAAAGGCGGGGCGTTCGTGAACGTCATTGAGGCCATGAGATTATTGGTTAGTGGAGCTATGGAATACCTGCAGACTGCAATTCCGCCTGCATGGGATGGTCTGGCGGCAACGCTTGGGGAGCTAGATGCCGTCAGCTCGGAGTGCCGCTCGTTGGCCATTGACGGCGTCTCGGCCGAGATCGTCGAGGCGATTTCCTCGAAGGTCAACTTGGAGCTCCTTCGCACCATACGTCACCGCCTTTTCGTTCACATGCTGGGCTCAGTGGGACCCATGAGCACGAAGATCCGAGATGGTCCCAACGTAGTCGATCGGCCGTATGCGCCGCCGCTGCTGCTCAACATTGTGAAGACCTTGACGAACGCTTACCCTAACGACATGCAGGCATCATCTGGATTACCTCTCGCGAAGTTGGAAGACACGCTGAAGTTGGATTTCAGTGGCCTGTCCGAGAAGATTGTCGAGACGATCATCGAGTTCACCAGCCACTGCGAGAAGCATGATGGGTCCCTGTTTGTCAACATGAGGAACGCGGTGGAGAGCGACCTACAGAAGTTTACTGCTAAACAGATGGCGGGGTTCGTTGCCTCTGAGAAGCTGAATGTCGGGAAGCCCGTTGGCAAGGGCATGGATCTGTTCCCGAGCAAGCGGGTGGAGGCCGTCGCAGAGATCATGGCAGAATACGACAAGAAGCATGCAGACCTGAAGTTGGCGAGCTCTATCTTGGATAATACGTGGGTTGCCATCGTCAACTCTCTCACCGACATCGGGGGCGATACTTCAGCAGACACCGTGCTTGTTGCTCCTACAGGTGACGTTGCGGGTGTTGCTGCTACGGGCGCGGACGCGAACAAGGACGACAAGAAGGACGGCAAGGTCGAGCTGACGGAGTGGTGGAAGCAAACGCTGGCCACTGAGGGTGGGATCGACTCGGCGGACTCTTCGGTGCTCACGCGGGAGATCATAGCTCATCTGCAGTTGGCCTTCTCGAAACTTCCACGCGTTGCTTATCAGAAGAGTGACGATGACGATGCCGCGCCTTGCCCAGCGGGGCAGATCAGCATTACTACGATGGAGGCTTCAAAGGGCGGCAAGGCAAAGGGCATTCTGGAGATGGTCGACATGAATATTTTGACAACTTCCTTGCCGTTCTGGGGCAGGGTCGTGACTACCGCTGCGGCGGCGAACATGTCAAAGAGCAACTGCTTGCCGCTCGGGGACTCGAACGGTTTGGGGCCAGCTCTTTTTCTTGATGGCACAGCGGTGCAGAACATCAAGAAGTCGGACGCTTGCTTGGCGTGGCTGGTGCCTCCACTCCCGCAAAAGAAGGACGACGACAGCAAGGATGGCGAGGTGGTGGCCACGCCGGCGAAGAAGGCTCGCAAGACGCCTCCGAAGAAGCAGCCGCTGAGGGCCACGCACAAAGTGTGCTTCGAGAAGAAGGTCTCGATCGAGGTCGATGGCAAGTCGTACACGTACGACTCGCCAGTGTTGGTGCACGTAAAGGAGTTCGCGCAGGCCATTGTGGGCCTTCGTTCCCCATCCTCTTGAGAAGCAAGGTTGAGGAAGAGGTGGGAGGAGAAAGGAGGGAGAGTGAGGAGCGAGGGGGCCTTCGGAATTAGGGCATCCGTAGGGAGGCGAGGGAGAGGAAGGATGAGGAGCAGGAGGAGAGGGATGAGGAGGAGGAGGAGGAGGGTCAGGGGGGGAGAAGGAGGAAGAGGAGGGGGAGGAGGCGGCAGAGGAGAGAGAGAGAGAGAGAGGGAGGAGGAGGAAGGAGGAGGAGGAGGAGGAGGAGGAGGAGGAGGAGGAGGAAGGAGGATGAGGAGGACTCCTCTTCCCCCCTCTTCCCTCCTCCTCCTCCTCCTCCTCCCCCCCTCCTTCCCTCTCCTCCTCCTTCCTCCTCCTCATCCTCCTCTCCTCTCCTCCTCCGCCTCCTCGTCCTCTCCTCCCCTTCCCTCCTCCTTCTCTGTCTCTCTCATCCTCCTCCTCCTCCTCCTCCTCCTCCTCCTCCTCCTCCCCCTTCGCCCGAGAGGCAGAGCAGACGAAGATTTTCAGGGAGCACGTCGACTTCGAGCTGGCCAGCTCCTCCAGGGACGGGAGCTCGGCCAAGGTGGGTTTCGTTCACATGTGATCGGGCGGGCCTGCGAGCAGGCTCGACATTAGATCTCTTGGAGGGGGGTCCCTCCAGCTTCGGCATTGTGAAAAACACAGGAGAAATCAGTTTTCGATTCCTGGTCAGGCCGTTGAGTAAATTCATGTGAGGTTATGCATGAAATGACGTCAAACAAACCTTCGTGATGAGACGTGGTTGTAATTGTGTAGGTGATGTTGAATCGTGCATGTCGTTGCCAGTTGAATTGTATGCGATGGTCGCTGTATAACGATGTAGATGTGATGGGGGGGGGCAACTTTAAAATACTGCTGATCTGGGCTCAATGGTACAGTCATTCTGGCAATGAAAGATGCAGTGGTAGCGGAGTCAGGCACTAAAACACTTCCAAACCTTGAGCTGAATCAACGCTCAGCGACCTCCTCAAAAGGAGTGGAACCCAGCCCCACCCCCCTCTGAACGTAGCCTCACACCCCCCCTATGTCAATACCTCCCGCGGCTCAAGACGAGACGTTCGCCTTTACTCACCCTAGGAAGAATAAAAAATTATCCAAAACTAGTCTGGGAACTATTTTTTGAGTATTATTTGACCTGTTTGGGGCATTTTGGGGGTATTTTTTATGTTTCGTCGAAAATCCCCCTGGGGACTATTTTTTGAGTATTATTTGACCTGTTTGGGGTATTTTTGGGCCGGGGTATTTCTTATGTTTCGTCGAAAATCCCCCTGTAGGGGGAAACGCCCGACATAAGCCCAGATTTGGACGCCCGAAATGGGTACCGGAAAGATGGGTACAATGCCCAACAGCAAATGTTGCCCCAAACCAACAGCGGCCGCTGTTGGGCAGGCGGCCCTCTGTCTCAAATGGACACAGGCCGCGGCGGCGTGGACAGCGAATCCTGTCCAAATTGCACAGGAACTGCTGTTGGGCATTGTACCAGACCAGAGGGAGGAGGAGGAGAAGGAGGAGGAGGAGGAAGAGGAGGAGAAGGAGGAGGAGGAGGATGAGGAGGAGCAGGAGGAGGAGGAGGAGCAGGGGGAGGAGGAGGAGGAGGAGGAGGAGGGAGGAGGACAAGGAGGAGCAGGAGCAGGAGGAGCAGGAGGGGAGGAGGAGGAGGAGGAGGAGGAGGAGAGGAGGAGGAGGAGGGGAGGAGGCGGAGGAGGAGAGAGGAGGAGGAGGAGGAGGAGGAGGAGGGAGGAGGAGGAGGCGGGAGGAGGAGGGAGGGGGAGGGGAGGAGGAGGGGGAGGGGGGAGGGGTGGTCCAGCTCTCCCAGGGAGGCGCGGCAGGCACCGAGGCAGGCCCTCCCGGGGCCCCCGGGGGGGGCTCCCAGAGCGGCCCGCGGTGCACCAAGAGCTGGGGGCGCCTCCTCCTCATCCTCGTCCTCGTCCTCCTCCTCGTCCTCGTCCTCGTCCTCGTCCTGCTCCTCCTCTCGTCCTCGTCCTCCTCCTCCTCCCTCCTCTCTCCTCCGTCGTCCTCGTCCTCGTCTCCTCGTCCTCCTCTCCTCCCTCCCCTCCTCCTCCTCTCTCCTGCCGTCCTCGTCTGGCCGCCCCCGTCGTCTCGGGTCGTTCCCGCGCTCTGCCTGGCAGTCCCGCTCCCCCCCCCCCCGCCCCCCTCCTCTCCCTTCCCTGGAGGAGAGGGACAAGAACTGCACGAACATAAACGTTTCGGACCTCCGCGCGGATCTCTTGGATCTGCGCTGGACCCTCTCCCCCTGGCGCGCGGTGCGGGCCAGGGGCGGCGCCGGAGGCGCCGCCGGTGGGGGCCTCAGCGCCGACGCAGTAGTCCGCGCGGAGCTCCCAACATTTGGGTATGTGCAGCCGCGCTCGCTCTTCGAAGGGGGCAAGGCCGCCCCTGGCAGCCCCCGAGATGGAGGAGGACTTCACGCCGGTCTGGTCCCTGCTAGGGGGCCACATGCGAACCCTACCCCTACCCCCCACGATTTCTGAGGGGGAGGGTGGGGTTCACTTCGCTCGGGAGCTCCCGAACTTGCCATCGCTCGGACGTCCATTCCCCGTGCATTCTTCGGTTTCGTGCGTGTTTTTTTCGGCTCGATGATCAAGGATGCTCCCCGATGGTCCTCGCCGAGAAAAAATGCGCACGTCCGAGCGATGGCAAGCAAAGAAGTGAACCCCACTCTCCCCCTCAGAAATCGTGGGGGCAGGATTGTGGACCACATGACAATGGACACTCTAACAACCCCATCATCTAATTAAAGATGTGTTCAAAACGTGTAAAGCATGCTCTAAACATGCTTCAGACATGTTTTTTACATTTCTTGAACATGTTCGAAACATGTTCTGGACACCTGGAAATCATTTGGCAGCTTGCTTCCTCTCCATTGATCGTCCTCCACTAGGGTATCGGGAGCGGCCAAGAGGGGGGTGTCCAAGAGGGGGGGGTGCAAATCATGACCGGCGGCATGTGCGCGGCCTAGCGGGGGGGCCAGGGACGTAATGAAATAAGAAGAGGCGCCATGAAATCTGGGGAAATATCATGGCCCACGCCATGATATCCACCCCCCCCTAGTCATCACCCCCTCTTTTCCGCCCCCGAGGGTAGGGGTAGGGCTCGCATCTGGACCCCTGCCTGCAGAAGCAGGCGTACTCGTCGTACGTCTTGGCCTCCGCGGCGCCGTCGGCCTCGATCTCGGCCTGGCGGCCGCGGGCCCCCGGCCGGGCTGGGCGCGCGGGCGGGGGCGGAGCTGCGCGGGGGCGGAGAGAGAGAGATCCGGCCCTGGTCGGGGACTGAGGAGGAGGAGGAGGAGGAGGAGGAGGAGGAGGAGGAGGAGGAGAGGAGGACGAGAGGAGGACGAGGGAGGAGGACGAGGAGGAGGAGACGAGGAGGAGGAGGAGGAGGAGGAGGCGGAGGGGTCGCGTCCGGCTGCTGCGGCCCCGGGGGTGCGCGCCTGGGGCCCTGGGGCTGTCCCGGCGCTATCCGCGGTGGTCCCATGGTTGGTGCCTTGCCGTGGTTGCCCCACGTTTGATAGACAGTGGCACCCGATATATATATATATATATATATATTATATATATATATATACATACATACATACATACATACCCAGGCCGAAAGTTTTTCCTCTTGCATGGGAAGGCATGGATCCATTTGGATCCAAGTACGTGTGTGTGTGTGTGCGAGGGTCACGTGGATTCAATTTCCGTGTCTTCTGGATCCAAATGTTTGGCGTGGAAGCTTCGTGGATCCAATTCTTTTCCTGGGGCAAACTTATAACAATACTTACTACACGGGACCCAAGGGGAAATGGATCCACGGAGCCTTGGACCTGCAGCCCAAGCTATGATTCTACGGGGGAGGGGTTTCCCTACCGAGAGACACAACACACGGGGACGAGTAGGGAAACACAAACCAGAGGCGGGCGAAGAGGAAGATGAGTAAGGAAGGACGGAGAGGAGGGAGAGGACGACGACGAGGAAGAAGAGGAGAGACGAGAAAAAGGAGGAGGGCAAACGAAGAGTCAGGAGGGGAGGAGGAGAGCGGAGGAGGGAGGAAGAGGAGGGAGGAGGGAAGTGGAAGGGAGGCGGGAGAGGAGGAGGGCGGAGGGAAGAGGAGGACGAGTGAGGGGAAGGGAGGCATAAGGAGGACGGGAGGAGGAAGAGGTAGGATGGACGAGGAGGAGGAGGAGGAGGAGGAGGAGGAGGAGGAGGAGGAGGAAGGAGGAGGGAGGAGGACGAGGAGGGAGGAAGACGAGGAGGGAGGACGGAAGAGGCGGGAGGGAGGAGGGAGGAGGGAAACGACCGCGGTGCCCAAGTCGGGAGCTCGAGCGCCACAGCGGGCCTGGCCACCTCTTCGAACCCCTCCCATAACATGTCGTTGCTCGAGCGCCACAGCTGCCCCAGCCAACTCCCGCAGCCTCCATAATATGTGAGTGCTCGAGCGCCACAGCGGGCCTGGCCAACTCTCGCAGCCTCCCATAACATATGCCGCACCCCACCTCCACGCGAGCGCGATATGATCGCTGCGTCCGCATCCGCTAAAATCAACGACACTTCGCATTTGTCATCTGGGCATCAAGAGGAACATATTTCGGCCTGCTCATGTATATATATATATATAAAGAGCATATAGACATAGATACGTATACAGACATGCATACATGTACATATAAACATATATATATATATATGTTTCCGCCGGCCCCCTTGTGGGGCCACCAGGCTGCGAGGAGCGGGATTCGCAGTTTCCTGTACCAGTTGTAGCTTGTAGTTTCTAGTGTTACAATTCTGCTTATTGCTGGTTACTGTAACTAGTTGATTGACCGCGCGAGGGTGGGGAGGCCCAAACCAGATTTTTAGCGTCCCCTGGGCGCGTTGTCTGAAATGCTGGGGGGGCTCGAAATCGACACCCTCACGCAGATCCGCGGGTCAGGGTCCAAAAACACAAGGGATTTGCCACATTTCTGAAATTCGGTGCCACCCCTCACGCAGATCCGCGGGGTCAGGGTCCAAAAACACAGGGGATTTGCTACACTTCTGAAATTCGGTGCCACCCCTCACGCAGATCCGCGGGGTCAGGGTCCAAAAACAAAAGGAATTCGCCATACTTATGAAATTCGGTGCCACCCCTCACGCAGATCCGCGGGGTCAGGGTCCAAAAACACATGGGATTTGCAACATTTCTGAAATTCGGTGCCACCCCTCACGCAGATCCGCGGGGTCAGGGTCCAAAAACACAAGGGATTTGCCACATTTCTGAAATTCGGAGCCACCCCTCATGCAGATCCGCGGGGTCAGGGTCCAAAAACACATGGGATTTGCCACATTTCTGAAATTCGGTGCCACCCCTCACGCAGATCCGCGGGGTCAGGGTTCAAAAACACACGGGATTTGCAACATTTCTGAAATTCGGTGCCACCCCTCACGCAGATCCGCGGGGTCAGGGTCCAAAAACACAGGGGATTTGCCACATTTCTGAAATTCGGTGCCACCCTTCACGCACATCCATCGCAAGGCGTGGTAACCCGAACTGCGAGAACTCCCTCGGCCCTTTCATCGCAAGGTGTGGTAACCAAGCCCGTAAACCATACACGTCTTACCAATCGCCAGGTGTGGTAACCCTCTTGTGATCAGTTGGTTTTGCTGATTGCGAATCGGCTTCGCATGAAGTTTCGATACTGCTTCACGACAGCGCCAAGGCCTCATGACTTAGCTCTTCCATGGCCCATTCTCCGAGAGAGGGGGACGGCGGCAGGGGGCGAAGACCTTACGGATATAAATAGAGAGATATACGTGTAAAGCTATACCGTCACAAACATGCTGCTGCTGCACGCGTGCGGAATCAGGACTGTGTAGCCCACGTTGGTCTCCAAGCGTTGCGCTTCAATGTCGGTTCCCTGGCGTTGCGCTTGAACGTGGCTGTTCACAGTCAGTAGCTTTCTGTCTCAGAAAAAGCTGAGCAAGCCCTAAGGCTGGTGCCTAGCACGCAACCGCTAGGCTTCTGAGACAGAAAAACATCCAGCTGATCCTCTCTCGCCCATTCTTTCGGGGTCGGACCCATGACGGCACGAGAGAGCGCGGCTGACATCGGGAACAGGAGCGACGAGGGTAACGGCCAGCGTCCAGCTTTCGCCAGCATCATGCAGAAGCTGGGCGGGGAACATGATGACCGAGACAGGTCCCCTCGACGTCCTCAGGACGCCCGCGGCGTAGCATCTGGCAGCACGGCCACACCGCTGCACCGCGAGTCTTTACAACCCGAGGCCCTACAATCCATGACTACCCAGATGATCGAGTCCAACACGGCAATCGTCCAGGCTCTCACATCGAACCAGCAGGTGATGCAGCACCAGATGGGCGAATTCTTGAAACAGGTATCCACGCTGGCTGCCCTGCAGGTGCCGGCTCCTGACTTATCCAAGCTCGTCAGCGAGACAGCGGCAGCGGCGGCGACAAGCGTGGCCGCCGCCGCGGCCATGGCTGCGGCACCACCTGCCTCCCCCGCCCCCGCGGCCAAGGAGGAGGAGCCGCATCTCCCGAAGGAGCTCGTGAAGGCCCTCGAGAAGGCGAAGCGCGACTTCGAAGGGGACCTCCGGCGCTTTACAGCGGCGCGGCGACGTTCCAAGAAACTCGAGGGGGAGATGGCCTCTTTCGAGCAGGGGGAAGGCCGTTACCCTCCTGGCACGCGGCCTTTCCATTCTTCAGATGCGACGTTGGAGCTCGGCAAGGCTCGGGACGAATGCGTGAACAACGGTGCGACCACAGCGGTGAAGACCAAGAAGGGGTCGACGTGCAGAGAAGCCATGGCCATGATGCACTGGTCCTGGCTCGAGCACGTGCGCAGAGCGGAGCTCGCGGCGGCGACCGCCGGACAGAACTCCCCGAAGGCAGATGCCAGCAGGCAGACCTGCGTGGCCACCATCCAGAAGCTGGTGCAGGACGCCTCCACGAAGGACTCAACCCTAAACCCTACACCCTGCGAAATGCTTTGGAAATCATGGGTTAAGAAATTCAGTCCCAGAATTTGAAATCAAGCCCAGAATGTCTATTCAAATCTTAGGATTTACATTGAAACGTTGAGAATAATCGAGACTCTGGCCGAAAACTTGGTTTTTCTTGAGCATCGCCTGGAGTGTACAAGCCAAGAACCTCGGACTCGGCGAGCCCCTACTCGACGTCGTCTCGGCCACGGAGGTCGAGGCCAGGGTGGAGCAGGAAAACCAATCCGTCTTGTGATTCACCTTTTGCAGACTCAAGCCTCGAAAATCCATCGAAACGGCATTTCAGATTTCACCCTTTGCCCTCCACCCAAAGAAAATACTCGGACGGAGGACGAGGCCAAGAGCCTCGGACTCGGCGAGCCCCTGCTCGACGCCGTCTCGACCCACGGAGGTCGAGGCCAGGGCGGAGCAACTCTGCCGCCAGGCGAGCGACCGCGTCTCCAAGGAGGCGGCCGCCCGCGGCCAGGAGATGACAAAGGAAGCTGAGGATGAGTACTCCAGATTTCGTAATAAAAGGGAGGGGGTCTCAACCCTCCCAGACGAGAAGTTTTAGACCTCCCCCGTGGGAGAACCCTCCAAAACATCGTCCCCAGACCCCCCCAGGCCCTCCAAGATAGCCTGGAAGAGACCCCCCCGAAATGAGACCCCCTCCCTTTTATTACGAAATCTGGGGTAGGGGGCCACATGCGAACCCTACCCCTAACCCCCCAGGATTTCTGAGGGGGAGGGTGGGGTTCGTTTCGCTCGGGACCTCCCGAACGAAGTGAACCCCACCCTCCCCCTCAGAAATCGCGGGGGGTAGGGGTAGGGCTCGCAAGTGTCCCCCGAATGAGGCGACTGCAGAACGCATTCGTTTGCAGAAAGACCCAGCGAACCTGCTCAAGCAAGCGATCCGGGCGGAAGTTCACGCTCCGCTTCCACGGGATGCCGAGGTGGAGGGCGACGCGGAGATGCCCGACCCCGAGACCAACTTGAAGCACTTCTGCGACACCGTGCGGGCAAAAACCGGTGGGGTGCCCCAGCCGCGGGGGTGGGGGCTGGCAGTGGCAAACGAGGCACGAAGGGCAAGGCCAAAGGCAAAGGAAGTGGCAAGGGGAAAGGCAAGGGCAAAGGCAAGACTTCACCGACAAGCAAAAGCATGGACAAGGGCAAAGGCACACACACACACACACACACCGACGGGCAGCACACGGACCTGAACTGCAAGGGCAAGTCAAAAGGCAAGGGCAAGGATGGCTTAGGAAAAAGAGGCTACGACAAAAAGCGTGGCGGCAAGTGGTAAGATGCAGAACTAGAAGCATGCATGACGTGAATTGGATGAACAGGCTCACAGACGGTCTAGACACTGGAGATCAGTTGACAATTCTGGATTGGAATTCGAATAGCGACAAAATCAAAATCTACAACCCGCCTAGTCGTAATTTAGAGTCAGCTGCGATTGTACCATGGCCGATTAGATGGTTCATTCTACGACGGCATCGCAAGCACATCATGATGTCAAAGGCGTTGCCGCGCATCTCAGCCACTCGGGCACACTTGCAAGATCTTCAGCACCGCATGCGATGGAAGCTTTACTTTCAACTTCGTCCACGAGCCAGCTGCTCGGTCCGTACATACTCCGAACACCACGCTGCCGAATGACGAGGACCAGAGCTCCACGTTCGTGCGCAGGGAGGATTGGACGTGCCTTTCCTCGTCAGTGCTGCAGGCAGGGCGCCACTTCGAGACCAGCGCAGTCGGTCTTCACCAGACGTGCTGCCAGAGCTACCTGAAGCTCTGCAAGTGGATACAGTCGAGGCGTTGACCTAAGTAACCCTAAATAAGGAACGAGGCCCCTATGCTCCATACATTGAACTTCGGTTTCGCATCGAAAACCTAAGGGAAACCCAAGGCAAACTGCGAAAGAATTAAGGAACACGGAGCCCCTCCGCAACGAAAAGGGTTCCTTCTTCAGGGCCCCGACTGTATCTGAGAAGATGGAAGAGGAGGAACTTCAGGGCGCCCTGTCCCGCAGCGTTTTTCACGGCACGAGCAGAAGCAGGCTGCAACTTCTGATCAAAGCTCATACAGAGACAGGTGCGATCGTACCTCGGCCAGTGCACGCATCATCACGGTATCTGTTCAAAGCGGAGTACTGAGGGAGAAGCTCGTCAGCGTAGCTCCTCACCTTCTGCGGGATTCAATGGATCTGGCCAGTCGTATCAAACATATCCGTGCTGATGATATACATCAATGGCACATGGCAAAAGTCGACGTGAAGGACTTTTACCTGCGAGGTACGCCACAGCAGATTGCCTCGAGCGTCGTCCTCCTCTGGTCCTCACGAGACCGCATGCGCGGCATCCTGTATAAGGTCATCGTTTTCCTCCTGGAACACCAGTACGTCGATGACCCCTGGGATGAAGCCGACGGCCCAACTACGCACAACGTTTTGGAGGGCACCGGCATAGGGCTCCCGCACAGCGGGGAGCTTGCAAATTGCTGCCTCTACGTTAAGCTCGAGGCTTGGCTCCTCCGCCAAACCACCTGGGACGGCACTGGTCTCCAGCTGTACGTGAGGTTCCGGGACGACATTCTCATCTTGAATAGGGGGTTCGTTTCGCACATTCTGTCCGTTTTCCGTGAGATGCAAGCGAAAGCTGACTTTTACCCCCTCACTCTTGAGCTTGCTTATTTCGAAGTCAACGCTTTAGAGGTGGTTGAACAAAAGGCCAGGGGGCGCGTCGAGCTCAGACATTATCTCAAGCCTGCCTCGCTCCTCCCTTGTCCCTCCCCCTCTCGTGCCCATCACGGCCCTATGCATGCCGCTTGGCCCGTCGGCTTGGAAAGGAAGGTCAAACGTGTCTGAACAACTAGCGATCTAGCCCGCTACCCTCTGCAGCGAGTCTAGGATGTGCCATGGTTTCGCAAGCGATGTCACTCGTGCTGCTTTTTCGCTCGCAGCATCCCGACAGGACCGAGGGAGCGCAACCCCTCGGGCTCGCAGTTGCTTCTGCTGGTTAGTGATGGGATTTCATCCCGTCGTGGCCAGGAGTCTCACCAAGGCTATTGGGTCCGTCAACGACGACCCAACTATAGGGTCGTGCCTTGGTCAGGCCTTCCGCCATGGCGGACTTGGGGAGTGTCGCCAAGCCATTGGTCTTAGTTGGACGAATTCTAACCCATCAGTTTTCAAATGCTTGCAAACTCAAGCATATGTACACTACCATAGGGAGCAGTGTTTGGGGTAGATGGTGGCACGCTGCTGCTGCACGCGTGCGGAACCAGGACTGCGTTGCGTTTCAATGTCGGTTCCCTGACGTTGCGTGCGTTTGAACGTGGCTGTTCACAGTCAGTAGCTTTTTGGCTCAGAAGAAGCTGAGCAGGCCCTAAGGCTTGTGCCTAGCACGCAACCGCTAGGCTTCTGAGACAGAAAAACATCCAGCTGATCCTCTCTCGCCCATTCTTTCGGGGTGGATCACGTACGGTTGTTTCGCCCCGGGGTGCGCGCCTGGGGCCCTGGGGCTGTCCCGGGGCCATCCCGCGGTTGTCCGATGGTTGGTGCCTTGCCGTAGTTTCCCCACGTTTGATAGACAGTGGCACCCGAAGTATACACATATATCTGTAGCATATAGACATACATACGTATATAGACATGCCTATATATACACATACCTATACATATGTGTAGCTATACGGGCATAAACATTTATTCATATGTGCATTACATAAATAGATATACATAATTCAAAACCTGGGTCGTTGAACATGTATAAAGCTATATATATAGATATGTATGGTTAGGTATGTGTGTACATATACATCGACATGTATGTCTGAGCATATTTACATATACATGTGCACATCAATGTATATATGTATATACACATAGTGGCATCGATAGAGTGAAACTGACATAGACATTGATAGTGAGAGCGGTCAGCACGTTGGCTGGACTATTGCTAAGTGGTGACACCAATAGGACAACAGGGAGAAACTGATACATACATACATATCTGTGTATATATACATGTGCGCACGTCACATGTACTAACCGTACTACCAATGTGTAGCCAGACCAGTAGCTAGTCGAACCGATACACGGGCAATGCTACATGCGTATACTATAGTGATAGCACCGACTTGTTTAGTGATAGCGTACGGTGAGACCACTTTACACTTTCATGAATAAGCACTCTCGTATATAGTAGGTTCGATCGATCGGTATAGTGATAGCGATACATAGGTAGTTGAAACAATATGTAGATAATCGATGAAGCGTGTTCTGTGGGCGCTGCACTGCGGAAGATATACCCCCCTCTCCTCTGGAACATCTCGCTCCCTCCTCTCTAGTGCTCGGTTTTAACCAAACAACAACTCTCCCCGAATATCTCCCCCACCTCTTACCTCCGAAACTGCGACCTCCCCCGCTCTCCCCCCTCGGGGAGAACTCTCCCCCATAAAAGTCGGGAGGGGAACACACCCGCAACGCGCAAGAATCCTACGTCGACGGCTGGCGACGACGACGAGGCTTCCGACGATGACGACGACCACAACCACGACGGCGCAAAACACGACGACGACGACGACGTCGCCAGCGATTACGGCGACGGCGCCGACGACGACGACGACGGCAGGGAGGACGTTCAGTCGGGCGGGCGGGCGGGACAGCAAATATAACCCCACTCACTGATGGGCAAAAGTGGAGGAGAAGACATCAATGCCACCGACGACGGCGACGATGACGACGCTAACGACGGGCGGAATGGACCTTACGTCGGACGGGCGGGGCATTAATTGTAACTCTCACGCGTTGACGGGGCACGGCTTGGGGGAAAACAACATGAAACACACCGAAGACGGCGACGAGGATGCCGAGGACGGGCGGGACGTTCAGTCTGGCGGGCGGGCGGGGCAGAAAATGATATCCTCGCTCTTTGATGGGACAATGCTGGGAGAAGAAACGCAAAGCGAGCGACGACAGCGACGAGGGGCGATTGGACGACGGCGGCGACGAGGGGCGGAAGGGACACCAAGTCGGCCTGCGGGCGGGACGCTAAAAGAAATCAACCCTCGCTAGAAGGCAAAAGTGGGGGTGAGGGAATCAAACAATAAAAACGACGACGACGACGACGACGGAGGGGATGCTCAACATATGTATGTATGCATGTAGGTAGTGGGATCGATGCATGGGAAGTGGAACCGACAGACACTGGTAAAGATGGACACACAGCCCGATCAGCATACATACCTATATCTATATAGATACATACTCATGTACATACAACCACACACGAGTTTGTTTTTGCATATCGACTGCGAACCCGATCCGACGCCAATCGCAAACCGAAAGCTGCACTCATCCACCCCCTAAACCTCCCTGTCGCCCGAAGGGTGGTCTCATCGGTAGGTTGAGAGTGTCACCCGAGGCCTTGAGGCCCTCGAGCAGGCTCAACACCTTTTGCACCGGCGTCACCGGCTGGGACACTCTGCTGCCGACAGCGAGGGCGCTGGCGGCAGCGCCCAGCAGCGCCACCTGGGACGGGAGCCGCATGGCTTCGTTCCAGTTCGGAAGGCCTCGTGCGCGGGCCGGTGCCGCGCTTCTGAGCCAGGAAGACGGCGATTGAGGAGGGGAAGGAAGTGGGAGGGGAGGGGAAGGAAGTGGCAGGGGAGGGGGAGGGAGAAGGCAGGGGAGGAGGAGGAGGAGGAGGAGGAGGAGGAGGAGGAGAAGGAGGAGGAGGAAACGGAAGAGGAGCAGCGAAAGGGATGCTCATGGAGGGGAGGGGGCAAGGAGGTGGATGTGGAGGGGTGGGAAGGTGAAACAGGGGGGGACGTGGATGCGGGGTGGAAGGAGAAGGGGGAAGGGGGGCGTTCACTCAATGTGTGCCCCTGCTTTTTGCACGTGCTCGCACGTGTGCCTCCTCCCCCTCCTCCTCCTCCTCCTCCTCCTCCTCCTCCTCCTTCTGCTTCTCCTCCTCCTCCTCCTCCTGCTCCTCCTCCGCAGCTTTGATTGGACCAGGCCAGAGCCCGACAAGGGCGACGGTGCCACCTGTTTCTGCGGGCATCGCGCTGGAGAAAAGATCCATCTCGGAGAGGGGTCAAAAGGAGGAGAAGTAGACGGACAGAAAAGCAGATGTGGACAGGCGTGGGGGACGGGGCCAGGGACAGCGCAGGAAAGGGGGGAGAGATAGGGGAGGAGAGGGACGAGAGAGCGCGGTGGAGCAAGGAGGCGGCCGATCGGAGGGGGGAGACCGCGTTCGCGTGTGCCTGTTCTTTTCCTGCTCTAGAGAGCCCACAAAGGACGTGCGCGCCCAACTATGTACATGAACACGGCCCCTCGACCCGCGAGACCTGCCGCGCGATACGAACATTCGCGCAATGCGAACTCTCGAAACCAGCGTGGATTCATGTACACGTACGTCGTTCTTTCGCTCCTGATGCTTGTCCTCCTGATCGTCCACTGTCCAGGGGCTCGGAACACGCCTCGACCTGAGGCGCCCCACCAATCTGGACCCGAGCGAGCCTGTGAGTCACCTCCTGGTCGCCCCACTTCTTGGAGGTTCGGGTGCGACGCAGGCCCGCGCGCGGTGGAGATGAAACCATCTGAGGCTACGAAGTAAAATGCAGCCACCTCCACAACAAACGTTCCGCCTTAAGGCTCCACCAAATTGGACCCGAGCGGGTCCGAAAAGAGGGACGTCCGCCACCTCGAGAGGCGTTCGGCCCGACGAGCTGTACCAAACGAGTCAGCGTATAACGAAGGGGCCCAAGGACACACAAACAAATCCGCCGACCCCATGAGGCGTGTGCGGAATCCTTTCTCAGCTGCATACGATGTATCCTTGTACATCATCCGTCTCAACTGCATACGATGTCTTCTTCTACCTCACAAGCCCCCCTACAAACGCTGCTTCCGCAGCCTGTGGGCATCAATTTTCAGAGCCTCGCCGGGACCCCCACCACGCCCGCCATCGCGCTTGACATTCCCAGCCTCCTGAGGCCTCTGGGCATAGGTTTTTGGGCCCCCCCCACCCTGCAAAATCCTCGCCGGGACCTCCCACCGCGCCCGCCACCGCGTCTGACATTCCCAGCCTCCTGAGGCCTCTGGGCATAAGTTTTTAGAAACCCACCACCCTGCAAAATCTTCGCAGGAAGCCCCCACTGCGCCCGCCACCGCGTCTGACATTCCCAGCCTCCTCAGGCCTCTGGGCATACGTTTTTAAGGGCCCCCCACCCTGCAAAATCCTCGCCGGGACCCCCCACCGCGCCCGCCACCGCGTCTGACATTCCTAGTCTCCTGAAGCCTCTGGGCATAACTTTTTTCGGGACCCCTCACCCTGCAAAATCCCCGCCGGGACCCTCCACCGCGCCCGCCATCGCGTCTGACATTCCTAGTCTCCTGAGGCCTCTGGGCATAAGTTTTTAGGAGCCTCCTACCTTGCAAAATCCTGGCCGGGACCTCCCACCACACTCGCCACCGCGTCTGACATTCCCAGCCTCCTGAAGCCTCTGGGCATCAGTTTTTTCAGGGGCCCCCCACTTTACAAAATCTTCGCCGGGACCCCCCACCGCGCCCGCCACCGCGTCTGACATTCCCAGCCTCCTCAGGCCTCTGACATACGTTTTTAGGAGCCCCCTACCCTGCAAAATCCTCGCCGGGACCCCCCACCGCGCCCGCCACCGCGTCTGACATTCCCAGCCTCCTGAGGCCTCTGGGCATAGGTTTTTAGGAGGTCCCCACCCTGCAAAATCCTCGCCGGGACCCCCCACTCCGCCCGCCACCGCGTGAGACAATCCCAATCTCCTGAGGCCACTGGACACAAGTTTTCAGGGACCACCCTGCAAAATCCTCGCCGGGACCCCCTACCGCGCCCGCCACCGCGTCTGACATTCCTAGTCTCCTGAGGCCTCTGGGCATACGTTTTTAGGGGCCCCCCACCCTGCAAAATCCTCGCCGGGATCCCCACCGCGCCCGCCACCGCGTCTGACATTCCCAGTCTCCTGAGGTCTCTGGGCATAGGTTTTTCGGAGCCCCCCACCCTGCAAAATCCTCGCCGGGACCCCCCACCGCGCCCGCAGCCTCTTGGGGTCTCCTGGGGGTCTCTTGGGCCAAAAGGCGCGAATTTCTGGTTTCTCGTCCCCGTCTTGGGCGCCGCCTTGGGGCGTTCTTGGGCGGTTTGGGCGCCTCGTGGGCCGTCTTGGGGCCCTCTTGGGGCCGTCTTGGACGCAGTGGAAGCCCAAAAGGCGAACACGCCACAAACATCAGTTTTCCCATAGGACATCGACGATTTTTGCTTATTGGGGCTCTCTCGGGGTGCCTCTTGGGGCGTCTTCGGGGCCTTTGGTGGCCTTCTTGGCGTCATGGGAGTCGATCGTGCACCTCAGGGGACTCCACCTGCGGCCCATCAGACAGGCTTGGGTCCCCAAGCCCATGCCGGCACACCCTTCACAGGCATCGCGTCCCACAGGGAGACCCACGCGATTCCATCCCAAGAGACGAAGTTCGCACAATGGTACGCCCCTCGCGAGGACCGTGCCACGCAACTAAATGCATCTGCGGCACCAGAGGGGAGCTTCATAACATCGGCCCGCTCACTTCGGCGCACCTCTCATACGGATCGTGACCCGCAAGGACATCCACGGACGGCCCCAAAGACAAGGTTCGCAACCTGCCGTCCCGCCTACTTCGGCACGCCTCGCACAGGGATCGTGATCGTGGCCCACAGGGATCTCCACCCACGGCCCCCGAAGCAAGTTTCGCACTGCGCCCCCCCCGGCCATGGCGGTACACCTCGTCACGTGGATCATGCCCAAAAAGAGCACCACCGAATTAAAGGCCCGGAAGGTTCGAACAACGCCCCCCCCCCCGCCCATGTCGGCACACCTGTCACGCGAATCATGCTCCAGAACGGGCATCTTTGCATGGCGCCCCCGCGCCCATTTCGGAACATGCTTGGCACGGGGCGTGCCCGGAGGAGGTACACCTGCGGCCTCAATGGGCGTGTTCGCGCGACCCTTCACGCGGATCGTGCCCCACAAGGAGTTCAGCGCACCCGTGCACGCGTGCCCCGCGGCAACCATCGTTCCGCATTGCCCTGGCCTCTTTGGCTGTCTTAAAGCGTTCCTGGCCCGTTGGACGCTGCCGGAAGTCGTTTTTGAGGCCTGTCTTCGAGCCCGCTTGGAGCGATCCGTGGCTGTCTTAAAGGCAAACTCAGGCGCGTTGACTCCTCTTGGGCCGTCTTGGGGCCCTCCTGGGGCCGTCGTTGGTGCTTCTTGGGCCGTCACGGGGCTATCGTGGAGGCCTCTTGGGTGCTCTGGGAGCGATCTTGGGAGCCTCTTGGGCCATCTGGACCGTCAGTAGGTCGAAAAACAACAAATGAAAAAAATCTTCAAAAACCAACGGGAAGTCGATGAATTTAGCTTCTTCGGGATTTCCCGACGGATGTCTTGGAGGCGTCTTAGCCGCCTCGAAGGCTATTTGGAGTTATCTTGGCCCCGTATTGGGCCGTGTAGGGTGCATCTTGGGGCCATCGTGGGCTCTGTCGAGGCCATCTTAGCGTTCTTGCAGGCCTTTCTGAAGCCATCACGGGCCATCTTGGCCGTCTTGGAGGCCATCGAGGCCGCTTTGGACCGGGAGCGGGGGGTCCTGGAGCCCACGTCCCGCCATAGAGAAATGAGGCCGGGCCCCCCTGGGGGCCCTGGAATGGTGTTTTACGCGTGTGTGTATATATATAGACACACATACATCTACATATACATCTACTGGTAGAGACGCATGGCTTGGCGTATACTCGCCTGGTAAGTAATCCAAGGGTGCGCACACAAACGTAATCCAGAAGCCGCATTAAAGTGATCATTTGTTTTTTGGCCCCCCCCCTCTGTCACAGAGGGGCCCTAAGATGCCCCCCCTCTGTCACGGGGGACCTCGTTCTGGGTGCTCTTCTGCCACGGGAGCTCCCGATACGATTGGAGACGATAAAATGCGATGGCGGGATGGGGGATTGGAGGGGGAGGGAGAAGAAAACGATGAAGGAGAGGAGGCAACGACAGCACCGATGAAAGCACCGTTTCTTTTTCCTTCTCCGCTCGGGCAGCGGTCGCCGAGCACGACGGCGCGCGCGACTCGCCGCCGCCCACGATGCACTGGCAAGGCCTCCGCTGCTGCGGAGGGTCGACGTTCGGCCGATGAGGCCTCCCTCCGCTGCTGCGGAGGGGCGGCCCCTGTGCGATGGTTCAGCTAAGTTCTTCCCAGGGATTGGTCTCGGGGGGGTGTTCGACCCGCCTCCAGGTGGTCGTGGTCGTGGATGGTCGTGGCCTCCCAGTGCCCCTGGCCGCCACTCCACCCACTGTGGCTGCTCCACCAGTCACTGGGGCGCGGGTCGCTGCCGAATGCAGCTTGCATGTCGCGCCGGGCGGAGTCGACCCTGCGGTCCTGCACCGAGGAAGCCTCGCCGCTCGGCTGTTGCCACTGGCGCTCCTCGCCCTCCCTGGTGCGCCACCAGTCCCACGATTTGCCGCGCCACTCATCCCTGCGCCACTCCCCGTCTGTTGGGTGCTGCCATGGCGTCTGTGGCCCCCGCTGCTGCGGGGGCTCTGGCGGCTGATGCCGCGGCGCCTCCCGCGGGCGCTG